ATGCTTGGCTTAGCATGGATAACTCTCCAGGAGAGTGGGCTGTTGTTTATACCTGGATAAGTGAAATCAAATTGTGTTCCCTAAAATCTGGCACTAAGAATGAAAATAAATATTCAAAGCAGTATGAATTTATTCCTTAAAACGCTCTCTAATGCAGCTAAAGCATAGAAAATCTTTAAAAATTTATTTAAAATCCAATTGTGATTGGCTCTTAAGCTTTCATAATAGCTTATTAGTGCAGAGCAAATACTTCTGAAATTCTACTTTCCACTGAATATCCAGATGTTAGTTTTTTAGATAGAAGCAAAATGGATACTATCAGGCCATACGGAATTATTATAAAATAAATATATTGAAGTATACTTGATTGCATTATAATTATTTTATCTAATAATTATTTCATTTTATCAATAATAATTAATTAAAAAAGCGTTATATTTTATTTAGTAATTAATTCCTTCATTTTTTATTTTTTAAAACAATAAAGCAATTTTCTATTTTAAAAATTCTTTATCTTAAGTTTAAATTAATAAATGATAGAGTATATATATATTTTACCTATTATGATAAATAATTATAAATTTATATTAGAATTATAAATAGTAATACTAATAATAAGAATTATTATAATAGTAATTAATTATTCTTTATTTCAATTTTAAATACATACTGCATGCATCCAAAAAAATTAATAAAAATTATAAAAACTCTGCTTGAAATATAGCAAATAAAAAAATGGCTGAGTTTTTAAAAAATGTCAGATTTAAGTAAATAATTTTTTAAGACTTCACAGTAGAAATTTTTAGAAAAATGCTAAATCAACTCAGTTTCATAATTGTTAAAAATCCTAATAAACGATAACTTTCTGAGATCATTTAGATGTCTTTTAAAAATTATAAAGAATTTTTTTATAATAGAAAACAAATTAGTAATTTCAAATAATATTAGATTTTGAATATAAATAGAGAAATATAATAAAAATAAGATGGAATTAAATTTATTTAATCGAATTAATAAGAAAATATTTTACTGATTGATTAATGAAATTTATATTAGATTCTTTAATTAATTAATGCTTGAAATCCTAACAAAAAGACTATTATGTCCTATTTAAAAGTAAATAGTAAAAAGAATGACTTTGCTTTATAATAAATATCTGATTTACTTAAATTTTACTTATTAAAATAGAGGTTTTACAATTTTATTATTATTTATAAAAAACAAACAAGCAAAAGTATAAAGCGGGCTAGATTTAAGA